ACTAATACTAATATTAATCTATATAACTATACGTTAATCTCTCTCTCTCTCTCTCTCTCTCTCTCTCTCTCTCTCCCCCTATTTTCATGGGAGTTACCTCTCTCTCCATGCATTCATTCACTTTCTCTAGAGCACTTTTGTTTTATTTCTATCTAAAATCTCATCCCCCAAATAAGGGATTTATACCTTACCTAAATTGCCTAAATATCTAAAACCTATAATAACTTACCTAAATTACTTAAATATCTAAAATCTATAATAACTACACATGAATCTTTCTCTCTCTCTTCCTATTTCCACCGGACTTGCTCTCCCTCTTGGCTAGGAGTCTGTATATCTTTCTCTTCCACTGAACCAATGCTCTATCCTCTGAATCATTGATAAAGAAAGTCCATCATACTCCATCCTTTCTCTGTCTCTATCATAGCCATCCAAATTTTTAGGGTAAAACTCTACCTCCCTCTAATTTCAATCTCTCACTCTGTCCTCTTCTATCTCACCCACATGGAAATCCCATAAATCTCTCTCTTTCTCTCTCATGCCTAGAATGTTCCAATAGGAGCCATTCATTATTGTATCATTGGTTTGTTTTTCCCCATGATATATTGTATATAATACTTTAATGAGACCTGTGAAACAGGTGCAACTTACTAATATAATATTAATGCAATATTCGAGAACTCAGCTGAGTCCACTCGAACTCAGCCGAGTTACTTGGACTCAGCCCTTTGCCGAGCCGAGTACTATGGTACAAACTTGGGAAGATTAAAAATTCATAAAAATGAAAAACCTATATTTTTTTGTAAAATCAATGACTAAAGATTTGTATGTAACTTTGATTTGAGTTTTTCTTGTCATTTGCCTTATTTTATAGTTCCCCCTTTTCTGAGTTTTTTTTGAAACGGTTCAATTTTTTCTAATCCTCCTTTTATATACTTTTTCCATCTTATTGGGACTTCAAATGTCGTATATAGTTTGCCCTTTACTATTTTTTATTTTCAACAATTTTTATTTTTGGTTTTTGCCCTTTTCTCGGCCTGTGCACTACTTGGCCGAGTCCGCTTGGACTCATCCTAGAGCGGACTCACTCCATTAACTAGTCTTACTTAAGACCTGAATCCCGTGCTCGATGAGAATTTTGGGATGTTGTATTAACATGTACTGCATGTCCCCGAAGGCCACATGGATAGAGAAGTGCTGATACATACTTTTATGCATATAATTCACTAAACATGTATGGAAAAAGTTTGTACAAGGTTGCAACCTTAAAATGTAGAATTAAGGATGCACTTCAAAAATCCATTGGAAAATGTTGTTTTAATGTTGAAAAACCCTATAATTAATCATCTCGACATCGAGATGTATGAATATGCAAAAAAAAAAGGATTCCTAGTCCCAGAAATAGTTCATCTTGCAACATATTATCTAGACCGTCCATTTTCAAGATTTTCATATGTTTATGGATCTACTTGATTTTAACCATTTTTGGAGTTTAAAACTTTATAATTAGATATGAAAATAGATTTTTAGATGATCCTAATAATTTTTTACACCAAATTTATATGTTAAGATAAAATTTGGATGTGCGCCTTAATTGGATTGTTTAAGGTTGCAACCTTATAGAAATCACACCCAACATGTATAGTCAAGGAGTTGGGGCCATGTCTTTATGTGTTGATATGTGTTGAAGTGTCAACATGTATCGACATGCGACATGAGAAGAAAGTGGAGTAACACAAAAAAATACTGTCATATGCCTTTCCTTTTGGATGCTTGGACCAATTGCTATCGTTCCATTATTTAAAGATAAAAATGATTTTAAGCTTGTCTTTTGGATTAAGATAGATATACGTCAAATAAGAAGGGGCAAACTTTGTCACCCCTGCTACACCAACTCCCTCTTATTTGTGAACTCCCTCATCATGGTTGGAAATTGTGTGTGGTTGCATATGACAACATTAGTGACTTTTGTTTTCTTTATCATGGAGTCCACAATTTTTAACCTTTTTTTTTTTTTTGAAGTAGTTAGCTGTTCTATTCTATTAAGGTAAAGAAAGGTACAAGTAGTAATTTTAAAGGCTTCCCACATACCGGGATCTCCCACAATTTTTAAGTTTTTAATCGTCTCAAGCATGAGGTTGTTGTAATGCACCGCACAAGGTGTCCAAAAAATATGTGGCATCTTCTCTCTCAAGAGTGTGGCAATCAATATGTTGTCTGCAACCATATTTGTAGCCACTTGGATGACATAATACTTACTGGCCACCTCCTTTATACACTTGTCCACTATGTTGAAAATGAACTGTAATTTTATGTTTCCTCAGATGCATCAATGGAGTGTAGAAACGTTATTCCCATTGTACGATTCACCCTAAATTTCACGATACTTTTCCCCTCCTATTTGTCCATGAATCAGTTGTTAATGTAACCCCATTATCTCCCTGAGCTCATTAGGAGTAGGGCCCTTCAACATGGAAATTGACCCATTGCTTCCAACCTTGAATGGAAGCTCTTCAAACTAGTTGCTTCGAAGGAGATGCTGCTTGGTACATCCATTGGGCCCTGTATTGACATACTCGATCCCTATCTTCCTTCTTGAAGCAGTTGTGTGTATTAGTTTGCTTCTTTTCTCTAACGAAACCTTGGGATCAGGGGTAGCATAAGAATCCATAGGCCTCTTTGTGCTAGGCTTCTTCTGCCCCTTCTACTAATTTCAGTTGAACCCAGCTCAGGCTCCCCTTCCTGAACATAATTGTATGTATCTTCTTCTTCTCAAAAAACATTCACTGACTTCCACAATCTTCTCGTATTATATTTTCCTCTCTTTTTTCTTCTTTTGACCGACTTCCAAATGGGCCAACGTTTCTCTCCTAATTTCGACTTGTACCACCTTGCATGGAGGGGTTACATTGCCTCTAATACAAGCCAAATGTTTCTTTACTTGCCAATAATTTAGACGTTTTCACAGAACTTGCATTCCACCCTATGTTTATCGTTTGGATCGTGGAGGCATATTTCCAACCCCGGATCATCTTGTTTATTTGAGTTTATCTGAACGGGGAGATGACATTGCTACTAATTCACTGACTCCAACCTGAACAATGCCCAAACCAAAATGTATTTTTGAATAAATACAAGGTGTAACAAATCAAAACCTAATCTGAAATAAAGTAAACAAGCAAAAACTTAAGTATTGAAAGAACTTGCTAAACTGAAATCCAATTTTGAAATAAGCAATCGAGAAACCAAAAGCCATACTAGAAAAAAATTACAAAACAAAAAGGCTCCAAATCAAAAAATTGGGACAGAGAGATTACAAAACCAAAACCCAAAAAAGCCACTAAACTACAACTAAATATTGAGAAAAGTCATCAAGAAACTCAAAACCGTATGGGAAAAAAAATTACAAAATCAAATGGTCCAAAATGGGAAATGGAACTAGAAAAATAATCACAAAATCAAAATTCAAATTTTTTTGGAAACCAAAACCAAATATTGAGAGAATTGATCAAGAAACCCAATCCCATACTAGAAAAAATGCTACAAAACGAGAAGGTCTAATATCAAAATTTCAAACTAGAAAATTATTACAAAACCTAAACCTAACATAAAAAATGTCAATAAACCCAAAACAGAAACCATCTTGAAAAGGGCCAACAAACCCAAATGCATACTTAAATTCTCCCCAAAAAAAAAAAAAAACCCAATACTGAAAAGTATCAATAATGGCAAGCACAAAATCAAAATAAACTAATCTTCGAACCTAACCAAAGCTGGCTCGAAGCAGCAAGCTTTGGCCACAAAACGCTCTCTTTGTGTCTCGCAATCAATTCCTTTCTATCCTTTATGATTTTGCAAGAACATGAAAGGATGAAAAATAGTTTCAATCTTGAAAAGAATTGATCTAATATTTGTTTTAAGAAGGGCTTCCCCTCTCTAAAAGCTAAAAATGGGCTTTTGGAGGGTTAGAATACACCTCCACCCTACCACTCAGCCTTCTTTTAGGGGGAGAATGACCATATTTGCCCATGCCCAAGGGCCTCAGTAAAGATCTGATTTTCAAACACAAGGATCTGATCTTTGGCTTTAGAGTCAATGGGGCTGTTCCATATTCATGCTTTTTTTACTGACATGGATAAAGATGTAATCTATCGAGTAATGCTTATTCTCTGCAATCAAAAAGATCTCAAACTGTAATTTGTCAATTTTTTTGAGCTCTGAATGTGAAAATTTCTGACTAATGACTTCGCCTGCAACTGCCTCCCAGCACCATTATATTAGAAGTCATTAGGTTTTTCTTACTTTTGCAGGGAAGTTTTACAGGGCCTAGAAATTTCTGGTCAGGTTCTAGCCTTCGGACTGAAGCCACAGGCTATGGACTGGTAACTCCTAGTACTTGCAAACTTTTCAATTCACCTGCAGGCTAATGATTTTGGGTCCTATCTTGGAGTGCAAGTTTCTATTAGTCTTTTATTCTGCTAAAATGGTGTAATCCTCACAACCCTGGCTTTTTGCAGGTTTATTTTGCTCAACTTATAATTGCAGACATGAATAAGGATCTTAAAGGATTAAGGTTTCTAGCTCAATCTCATACATCTAGTCCAAAAATGATAATAATCCCATTCTTTCTTTGTGCTACTCTATACAGCTGTTATTTTTATAAAATCTCTCTCTCTCTCTCTCTCTCTCTCCTTCCCCCCCCGAGGTTTCCTGTTAAACACATACATGCTGTAGTGAGTTGTGTGCCTTCATTTGTTGAATGGCTGTATGTCCATTTCCTTTCCATTGGTTATCATCCATTTTCTGATTATAAGCACCCTGAACTTTATATTCTTCCCAAGTATCCAGGGCCTTACAGGGATAATCCACTAGCTTAATATTCTCTCTCCAGGACTCTACTTACTGATATTGATATGCTCTTTATTTTTACTAAATGGTGCTTGGTTAATCAGCAAACATATCAATATCTATCACAAATTGCTCTAATTTTTTTTTTTTTGTGAATTTTAAATTCCAGATGTATTGTGAGTGGTTCTGGGAAGATAGCAATGCATGTTCTAGAGAAGCTTATTGCATTTGGTGCCGTGCCCATCACAATATCTGGTATCCTTTAGTTTTTTTGTCTCGTTTTAACTTTGAGATTGACTAGAAATTTACTTACAACTGTCCTGGCTGTGCCTATTATAACTTCGTTACTTATTTATTAATCAGTGATGCATCAACTTTAGATAGGCTTGTTCTCAAGATGTCTTGTGCTTGTTGTGTTTTTCTTTTTTTCTTTTTACTTTTCTTGGGGAAAGTATATACAGTTTGTGTATTGTATGGCATGGTATTTCATTCAAGTGCTTGCAACTAGTTTTGCAGCACTGAATTTTTGTACCTATGCAGATTCCAGAGGCTATTTATGTGACGATAATGGATTTGACTTTCACAAGCTTACGATCTTGAGAGATCTCAAGGTCCAGCAGAGAAGCCTAAGGTCAGATATTGTAGCCAGATATGTTGATTGTGTAGCCTTATTTTATGGATATTTTAGTTTTAAACTGCTGAATATGACTTATTTTCAATTTGCAGAGATTACCTAAAGTCTTATGCTCATGCGAAGTACACTGATGAGGCAAAACCTTGGAATGAACGGTGTGATCTTGCATTCCCTTGTGCATGTCAAAATGAGATAGACCACTCTGATGCCCTAGCTTTGGTTAATTCGGGTTGCCGTATCTTGATAGAAGGTGTTCAGTAGGTCATGACGTAATTTCGTTAATATTTTACTGTATTTCTTTCTTGCTTTGGCTCAAAACTATGCCAATATTTATTTATGCCTTTCTCCATGTCCAGGTTCAATTATGCCTTGTACCCCTCAAGCACTTGATGTCCTGAGGAAAGCTAAAGTTTTGATAGCACCAGCAAAAGCTGCATGTGCAGGGGGGGTATGGCTCTATTCAGTTGGCCCAACCTATTAAACTATACAATTAGCTGCGGATTAGATTATGCTTCTTCAGATTACTTTCCTTTTCATGCATGAGTTCTATGCCTTAGATTATCTTTCCTGATTATTTATACCTAACCCCCATGTCATTTTAAGGATTTTTATCACCTTCAGATGCCATAAGAAAATGGACTATGTACTCAACAATCATGAATTAAACACTATACTAGACTTATCCAATCTTATTATATACGGATTCGTGTTTTGTGCTTTTTGTATGTTCTGCATAATTAAGGAACATGGAGCTTGGAGTTGTTTTAAGTGTCCTCTACTTGTTGGTCTTTCCTTAAAGAAACATATACTAGTATTAGTGTTTTGGTGATCTTGAAGTTGATCAAATTTTTATATTTGATCGGCCATTTTACCCTTTTGGATATCCTGGCGTATTTATCTTGAGTGAAAACACTTTGGCCTCTAGGCGACCTGTGTCCAAGCCTTTCCCCTTACGTGATCCTGTATTAGGCAATTGGGTTGCTTGGCATGTGACCCTTGTCTAGGCTCTTGCTTGACATGCTTTTTAATAACATTGTTGTCTGCCTTAATTTATATTGGTCACATTTTTCTTTGGGTTAACCTTTGTTAAACAACTTCACAGCACCTGAACCAAAACATAGTTCTCTCCTTGTGGGAAACATCGCACAAACTGGAGTATCATCCATGTGGGAGAGAGCTATATTTGATGCAATCATACACCGACTTTATTGATGCTTGCTCCATATAACCATCGACCTGAAACGTTTGCGCCCATCATCTTCTTGTAGCCAAGATGCTTCAAGCTATTAATGATTGAATTTTAATACAACTGGACAGTTTCTTACAATTGTAGTGTGTAACGGAATCGGCACTCAATTAGAAGCCAACTGCTGGATGTCCTTATGACATGAATCCTCCGAAATTGATAAATTAAGAACCGGTAATTGGGCCACTGTTCATTTAAAAATTATTTCGACACCATTTAAAAAATGATTTCGACACCATTTAAAAAATGATTTCGACACCATCTTTTCTTGGACATCAAGCTTTGTCAGTGTTATTATTTAAGAAAGATTATCAGGATATTTAGCTATGCATTTGATAGACCTTGCCCTAGTTGGTGTCACTTTTGGTAGCTTTTTGTGCTTCTTGGGAGCTTGGTTTAGTGAATTCATTTTGTCTCCTTGTTCAGTTTGTTCATTGGTAGTGAATTGGTACCAAGGATAGAGAGTCAGAATATGGATTGAACCATTGAACAATTTGAAAGGTTTAACATCATAAAAAAAAAAAAAAATCTATTCAACAGTTTGAAGTAAGGTGGACTTTTTAAACTTTCCAGGAAGTTCCTGACAACATTAGTACACTGAGCTTTTTCCTGGAAATTGAATTTTATAAATACTTTTTTACATATAAAAAAATTTTGTTTTCTTTAGGTTAATCAAGAAAAAATATATATTTGGATCATATACTTGAAATGGGCAATTAAAACTTTTATGTTATTTTTTCTTCTGTGGGCATTGTTTGCCGGAAGTTATTATATTAAACATTGTCGGGAACTCATTCTGACTCCATATGAAACATTGTAATTGCAGGTTGGAGTTGGGGAACTTGAACTGAGTCAAGACTGTAATTCTATACATTGGTCCCCCGAGGAGTTCGAGAATAAGCTCCAGGTATTTCTGCTGTCTTATGACCCATATTTGGTTGTGGTATGTTCCTCGGAATAGCCTTCCTCAATGAAGTTTTTTTCACTTTAGTTCTGCTTGGTCCCTGAGAATCCCAAAAGTTCATTTGAAAATTATGACCAAATCCATAATAAAGGGTCCCATGGTTTTTGGGATAATGTTTGAGAAATTTCCATTTGGATATCTGGAAAAAATTACTAGGAAATGGTTTTCCCGGGATATTGCCAATTTCCACAATTTGGATCCAAAATTGGAGGTGGAATTGGTTCTTCCAAAAGTTGTATTGTCTATTTTGAACCCAAAATAGAGAAATTGGTCTTCCCACAAGCTAAAAAATTAATTACTTATGGAGCCAAGCAAAAAAAGTTGAAAGGAGCGTATTGTTTGCTGGGGCCCAGATAAAAAAGGACATTCTCTTCCATCTGTCTCCCTTCCCCCCCAACCACCTTTGCTATCCCAAAACTCTCTCTCTCTCTCTCTCCCCC